AATAAATACCAAATAAAACCACACATAATATACAATAAACAAAAATATAAAACAGTAATGCTATCAGAAAGTCAGGCATGTTGCCAACTCACAGTAACAACATGATTATTGCTGGGCAATCACTGACGGTCTTTTTGTTTTTTTCTTAGAAGAGCGGAAAACAGGGCCCGAATCACTGGTCACAGAATCACTTGGACTGTCGAGATGTGTCCTCACAGCAAGCGGCTACTACAGACGCAATTTTTAAAACAGGCAGATTAAAAAGATAGGGTCAAATGAGAGACTGGCCTTCTTTGGTCTTTGTTTTTGGGTAACAGAACTGAACACAGAGGCACCGGCAGAGAAGGGGTTGCAAATCTGCAGATGCTGTGCAGCGTCTACACTGCCCTCCACACTTCACACACCTTCTCCCACAGGCATTTCTTAGAGAAATCACCGGACATCATGCCAGCTTGTGTGTTTTCCAATTAAGTCACTGAATTTGCTGTTGGAGGGGGTATCTTACTTGTTTGAGGGGACTAAGTTGTCAAAACCAATCATCACCTAATTACAGGAGTGGTGCAGCGATCCTGGACTTCTAGCATCTTTTCACGGTGAGAGTTCACAAGACAGACTAGACACAGTGCAGCAGGAGAAATGAAACGCAGGCTCTGCTTGGCCACCGGGGCCTCCTCACCCGCACACCTGCCAGCCCTGAGGCGGCCGAGGCTTCATATGTCTGCCCTGCAACCGCATGTGGGGCACACCTGGGTCAGGTGGAAAACGCCCTTGCAGTGAGCTGCGGGCCCCGCCTCACGCCGCCTGCTGGCCCGGCTCCCTGATGCCACTGTGCCTGTGACCATCAGCACCAGCCTGGACGAGGCAGCAATAATGACCAGGTAGCCTGCCCACACTGACCTCGCCTGGCCTGGGCCCCGGTGGGGACATTCTACTTTGGAGAAAACAGAGCTACTGAGATTTGCAAACGGAAAACAGAACAATGGTCATGGGCTGAGAAGTAGATTTGGGTGACAGACCCTCAATTCATCACAGACACAAAAGCAAAGGGGCTCCCAGCACTCTCCCTAGCCCTCCTGCAGTCTACTAAGTAAAGATCTGCACTGAATTTTTTAAAAACAGTATTTTACAGTTCTGCTGGAGCCCTTCTGACACACAAATTACCCCCAGTACAGGGAGGAGTCGGAGGGCTGGGAATTGAGCAAGGGGGCCCGCAAGGAGAGTCTGCGCCTGCCCAACCCTGCAATGGCCCACGGAGACAGTGGCACTGCCACCCTGCTGGAGCTGTGCACAGGGCAGCAGTCCTCGCGCCAATCCTCCCTGTGCAGGGGAGAAAGGAGGTGTCAGCCCAGCTGTTGGGATCAGTGTACTCCCCGGCCCTCCCTTGGGTTGACAAGGAATGACCCCGCTAGGGACAGAATGGTTGTTTAAGGACCCATACAGACCACCCTTCCTTTGTCTGACATCACCTCTGGCTGAAGGATGTGGGTCCACCATGGTGACTACCACCAGACACCATCAAGCAAAAGGGGTGCTGGAATGTGACGTTGGCATGGCCGACATCCATGGGACATGTGGCCCCTGGCCCAGGGTGACTGAGGACCCTGGAGCAGGCTGAGGTGGTCTGGGAGGCAGCTGGTTGTCCCAGGGACTGTGCCTGGAACTGCATCCTCACCGAGCTGGGCCACATGGGGTTATGGGGAAGCCTCCTGCCACAGCCGGTGCAGTGAGAGCCCTGGCAGGCAGTGGGCCTGTGGGGCCCGGGCCAAGGAAGTGGCCCAAGGAGCAGGAGCCCCAGTACGCCACGCCATGGCTCCCCGGCACCACAGGCCAAGCAGGGCATGGGGGATGGGACAGGAAAGGAGGGAGAGGCAGAAGAAGCTGCCTGAGCAAAGGGCTCCCTGTTCAACTGACTGTGGTGGCATCGAAGGGACACAGGTGCTGTCCCTCGGCAGAGGCTGCTCTGGGGAGGAAGAGGTGACAGAATGGGGCTGCAACCTGGGTCTCCAGGGCCCCCTCTGCCCACCTGCACAGGGAACACACATCTGCAAGTCCACACCTTTGCCCAGGGCTCTGGTGAGGCTTGCGCTCAGGGGACAGCACCACTTTCATGCTTGACGGCTCCTAGAATTGACACAAACCCTGACCTGGCCGCTTGTGTGTCACCAGAGCACGGCGAGTTTAAAAGTCCAGCGTATGTCAGGGCCTACTCAGGCTCCCTCCAGCCCAGCTGGAGCTGGCACGTCTAGTCCCAAAGCCAGGGCCCCATGGGCCCCCACTTCCACCCTCACTGAGCCACCCAACCCTGCGGGAAAGGCCCTACTCCCAGCCTGGCCCCCGTATCATCAAAGACACACCCCAACTTCTAGCTCTGCAGGCTCTGCTGGAAAAGCCCTAGAACCAGACGGTCAGGCTTCCAGGCCTGGCTGTGGCTTGCACGGGGCTCAGTGCAGTCACAAGAGCCAGTGCCCTTCATGTGAGCCGGGCCCAGGCCAGCCCCCAGCGTGCCCGGCAGCAGAGAGCAGCCCGAACCACGGTGTCCTGGAGAAACTGCTCGAGGCGAGGGGAGAGGGGACGGCGTTTTGTTACGAAGGTGACGGGAAGCAGACCAGCTTAATTCATGCACAAAGGACTCAGTTGGTTTCTGTAAAATACTGAACAGTTCTGTCCTGCTGGGAGTTTGGTCACTTTTGGTAAATAAGCAGCACCCCCAAGCACACAGTGTGCACCCCCGTTTCATGCTTGCTGCCAGGGCCCTGTGACACGGGGACGGCCGACCACTGCCCGAGGGGCCACTGGGCCTCAGCTGCAGGGAGACCATGGCCTCAGGCTGGCTCAGGTGGCGAGCGCCAAGTGAGGGTGCCCGGGGGTTGAGGGTGGAGCAGCACAAGGCTTGCCCACCGCTGGGAGAGGGGACGCCGTCCCAGGCTGCTGCCCCCCGTGCTGAGTATATGAGAGGAAGACACACTCAGAACAGAGACCCCAATACAATCAAACACAAGGACAAAGCGTGTGACATGGGCCATCCCATCCTCAAGGACCCCCGTCACTCAGGTTATGTCTGTGGGACCCTTGGGTGGGGTCCCATGGCGTCCCCCCAGGAGCATCTGCCTGGGAAGGGCTACCGGAGACGTCCCAGCGACACGCACTGCTGCTTCCGGGGGCCACACCAGGCCTTCAACCCAGAGGGGAGGAAACGCTTCTTACCAGACCAAGATGTTGCATAACCTTAATCTAATATTGTACATTTTGTGAAGGGGAAGTTGCAGGGATGTCCCTGTTGTTAACCCCTGACCTCAGGAAAACTACCTGAGGGCAGGTAGGGGACAGGCCTGAGGTGGGGACACCTTCAAGGAACAGGAGTTTCCGCAGCTCCTGCAGGAAGTCCTTGCTTTATGAGCTCCCTCATGGGGCAGAACCAAAGATACTTATTCCCCCAAAGCAATCCCAGGACAGCGGGGAAAGGAAAGGCAGATAAGAACAACGGAGCGCTTCGATCGCGAAAGGGCGCGGCAGGCCCCTCATGGGAGCTCGGGGCACAGGGGTGCGACGGAGGGCACTTCCAGCAGGCACTGGGGCGAAGGCACACCCAGGACAGATGGCAGCACCAGAGACAGGTGGGCCACCGGGCACCCACCAAGCTGTCCCCGCGCGGCCACGGGGAGAGCCGAGGCAGGCAGTCTGACGTGCACGGCCCAGCTGGCCAATTGTGGGCGCGGCTTGTGGGCAAGTGGCACAGGTGTGGTGGTTCGCACACATTGGTTTTGCCTAAGAAGCACCCGTCGCGTGTAGCACCCATCAGTGGTAAGAGCACCATGAAGCGTGGTGCATAGCAAAAGGGGTGCAGGGGCCGGGCTCCAGGCTTCTAATCACAGTTGGACACTGAGAGACAGTAAACAGTGAGTTGAGAAAATGCCGTCCGGGCAGGCGCAGGCTGGGACGACGGGCCCTGTGGCCACCCTTCCCGCCAGGGTGGTGGTCAGGAGCGCCCATCGGTCAGCCTGGGCAGGCCCCCGAGCAGCGGTCTCTGGAATGCTCAGAGGGTTCTGCTTCGGGCTGTGGGGGTGCCCACGGCCCCAGTGGGGACACGGAGAGGCTCGGCTTCTGTTCCACACCTGCCTCCCTCAGGGTGGGACCAGGCCGTACTTGGACCAGGTGGCTCACTCGTGGGGCCTAGAGATTTGGAATCTGTGGTAATTAAGCAGCAGAGGCTCCAGAAGCCGACGGTGGAGCCTGGCTTCCCCTCAGCAGGTGCGGAGGTGTCTGAGGGCCCTTGTAGAGATAAAGATCTAGTGGTGGAGAGAAAAGTCTGGTTAAACTAGCACTTTCTAGAATTATGCTCAACGCAAACCCAGGGTGGAGAAGCAGCATGTCACATCTAAGGCACATGTACCGTATGCCACCAGCTCTATGCGCAATGTTGCTTTCGGAGACCGTTGACGGCATGCAGCAAGATGACAGGATGGAGAAACACACCTGCGGGCCTCCCTCAGCCGTCACCCGCCCACCCCTGACATGGAGACCGAAGGCCGGTGCTGTCAGCAACAGAGAGCTCGTCCGAACACATGGGGCAGAATCCAAACACCTACAGGATTTTGTTTAGAACTCCAAAGTTCAACGGATGCCCTATTTTAGGGTGAAAACAATTATAAATCTGAAAATGATGCACAGCATCCATGAGCGAGGCTCCGTTCAGAATTGTGAAGTCGTGTCATTAACTACGACAGATATTGAAGGTTTACATTTCTAACGAGAAATAACAACAGGTTGAATATTCTCTTTCCTATCACAAGTGATAACCAGTGTTTGATATTTTATATTTTCTTCCAAGAAATATCAGTCTATCAGCGTTTTAAAATAAAATGTTTGCAGTAACAATTATTTGTAGAACTTTAAATTAAAAATGATTCTGAATTTAGAGACTTTCAAAAAAAAGACCTAGGTATACTTCAGGGTCTTCTGACAAACAAATTATTAAAACAGAGACCAGATGAGGCCTTAAAAATAGACAATATACTGTATTTGAAACAAAATTGCACTCTTGAATTTTAGAAAGAAGATATCAGAATTGCATTACTATTTCATAAATTCTCCTTTTACTTAACATGCTGACATGTCCAGCCATCCCCACATGTGTGTGTGTGTTTTTGGTGTTCAAGTTTAAGGAAGAAAAATCATGTTTCTTTTGTTTAGCATGTATGTTTTCCACCTTAATTAACTAGATCTTTAAAAACGAAAATGAAAACCTTCTCTGACAGCAATATTTATCTCGCTGAAGGATAAATAATTCTTCAGAGTGAAGTGTGGCTAGTCTATTATAAAACGTGTCACGTGTGCTCACGCGTGGCTCCTCCCGCCGCACGCGTCCGCCTTCTGCCGCTTCCTCTGTCCCACAAGGTCCTTTTCTGAGTGCGAGGACCTCGGTGAAGACAGACCGGTTCAAATCCCCCAGAGGAGTTGCCTTCTGCTAAATCCACCTCCCCAGCTACTCATCAGGGATCGGGCAGATCCGAAGTATCCACTATGACTTTAATAAAAATTGTATCATCTTTAATATATGTCCCATTTTCTAGAACAGTCTGGGCCACAAAGACTGGGCAGCCAGAGGCGATATTCATCTCTCCAGTGGGCTTCTTGAAGCTGCTGCTGTTGGGGTCGGGCTTGAACGCATCTCCCAAATGGCGCCGAGAGGACCCCTGATCCATCAGCATGAGTGTCACTTTCTGCTTAAACGGCCATGGAAGCAGGGCATCATATTCTCCACGCATGATGACAAAAAACAGCGACAGGTGCGTCCCCTTTCCCATCCCATCCCCGTTCAGGTAGACCCTGGCACACATCTTATAGCCAAAGTAGCCAGTGTAGAAAGGCTGGCTGTAAAGGGACAGGGTCTTCCCCATGACGGCCTCCTGCTTCCGCCGCTTGTAGTCACGAATCTTCCAGATGAGCACGCCGTTGTAGCTGGCGGTCTCCAGGACCTGGAAGCGCAGGTCCATGTCGGCCAGGCGGATGTCGTGCACACTCAGCATCTGGTCATGCCGGCTCAGCTGGGACTCCAGCAGGCCTGCCACAGGTGAGGAGGGATTTGGTGAATGAGACAGGTGAACGTCAGAAAGGTTAGGAAAGCAAAGCTGCACCAGCACTTTTTATTTTATTTCATTTTTTTGAGACGGAGTCTCACTCTGTTGCCCAGGCTGGAGTGCGGTGGCACAATCTCAGCTGACTGCAACCTCTGCCTCCCAGGTTCAAGCGATTCTCCTGCCTCAGACTCCTGAGCAGCTGGGATTACAGGTGCCTGCCACCACGCTTGGCTAATTTTTGTATTTTTAGTAGGGACAGGGTTTCACCATGTTGGCCAGGCTGGTCTCGAACTCCTGACCTGAGGTGATCCACCTGCCTCGATCTCCCAAAAGTGCTGGGATTACAGGCATGAGCCACCGCACCTGGCCCTTTTTTTTTCTTTTTGAGACGGAGTCTCTGTCGTCCAGGCTGGAGCGCAGTGGCGCGATCTCAGCTCACTGCAAGCTCCACCTCCTGGGTTCACGCCGTTCTCCTGCCTCAGCCTCCCGAGTAGCTGGGACTACAGGCGCCCACCACCATGCCCGGCTAATTTTTTGTATTTTTAGTAGAGACAGGGTTTCACTGTGTTAACCAGGATGATCTCGATCTCCTGACCTCATGATCTGCCCGCCTCGGCCTCCCAAAGTGCTGGGATTACAGGCGTAAGCCACCGTGCCTGGCCTCATTTTTTAATTCTTAAAGAGGCAAGGTCTCGCTCTGTTGCTCAGGATGGCATCAAACTCCTGAGCTTAAGTAATCCTCCCGCCTCAGCCTCCCAAAGCACTGGGACTATAGGCCACACCACCATGCCCAGTCACACCAGCATCTGAAACAATATAAGGACTGTGGTTTCTGGGGGTAACACCAGCAAAACTGTGTAGACAGATGTCCTGAGGCCACCGCCTCCCAGGGAAGAGCCCAGGTCCCTGCCCCAGTTCTACCACCGCTCTCATGCCCACAGCCCTGTCTGGACACATTACTAGGCACGGCCTGCTGAGAGGGGATGTCCTAGGTGGGTGACCTGCCTGTGTGTCACAGGACACCTCACTGCAGGGTCCAAGACAGAGCGCTCCGACTCCACTATGGCTTCCTGGGAAGCCTGCTGGTGGGAGCCCCTGGGAGCAGGAGACAGCTGTGCTCTCCCCACCCCTCCCACCGGCCTCAGTGCCTGCAGGTGGCCTCTGCTCTCTCGGAGGCGAAGCTTCTCCCCTCTCCTCCAGCCTCATCCTCTGCCTGCTTCATCCGGCCCCCCACACGCCATGGTAATCTGTGTTCTTTCTGCCATTAATCCTCTTCATGTAAATATTCCCAATACTCTTTCAGTCCCCAAAGCCATAGGCCCACATCTGCTTGTGGGATCAGAAACACGCTGGCAGAGCGCAGTGGGACTGCTGCCCTCTGGCCCTTAGGAGTCAGGTCTGGGGCGCCCCGACCAGCACGTCCTGGCCATGTGCACCTGGGCCTGTCCTGCGGGTCATACTGTGGTCAGTCTCTCCCAGGAGGGCTTTGTAGCTTCCCGTGGCTGCAGCTGCCCCTACTCTCTACACCACACAGGGCCTCACATGGAGGGGACAAGCCTGTGTGGGAAACGTTTGTCTTTGCTGGGGGACTTTCAGCAGGAAAGTCATCACACCTCTGCGTGTTACCCATAATTGGAAAGAACTGTTCTAAGGCGCATGTACCTAACATAGCCCTCATCCCACAGACCCTGCCCCAGCAGTCCCCCGGGGCCCAGATGCACACTGCTGGCCCAGCCCCGGCCCCTGACTCACCTGTGTTCCGAGCCACTTGCCCCGCGCTCTTGTCCACGCTCTCCAGCTCGGTCACACGGTTCTGGAGGGACTCCACGCTGCTCTTCATGCTGTCTGCTTCCTCCCAGTTCTGCCGGAAGGGCCGGATCTCTTTGTCGAGCTCCTTCAGTTTCTCTGCTTGGCTGTCTATCACTCGCTTCCAAACCAAAGGTGTTAAAAAGCAAAACATAGTTAGGACTTGGAAAATGCTGCACCGCCTCCCATCAAATACAGACGGGCTAGGAGCAGAACAGTCACAGAGGCCTGCTACCCGCGGCTCTGACTCCAGGAGCGGGGCTCTGCATCGGCCCTCCTGGGAGCTCCCTGGGAACAAGTGCTTGTGCCGGCAGGGAGCACTTGAGGTGACGTGAAGCCAGATGGAAGAAAACAACAGGAGGCTCCACTAGGTCAGCTTGCTTTGTCAACAGAGAGCCACCAGGAAAGCGAAGTGACAGGTGGCAAGTGTTCAGAAGACCAGGGGAGAGGTCTCCGCTGTCTCTGGGGCAGGCAGCAGCTCATGCTTCTGCTGCCCACAGCCCCTGCCCAGGCTTCCCTGTTTCACAGCAGCACTGGTGCCACCTGCCCGCCCTGTTTCTCACATGCCCACACCCTGGCATCAGTCAACCCCACACCAGCAATCTTGTCAGACACCTAGATCCAACCTCACCCTCACACTCCCACGTGTTCCTCCCAGCTCTTCTCCCAGGCCACAGCACCTGTGCAGGGCCACAAGGCTCCCATGGACATCTCTTCTGCAGCCCTCGTATACCTCGGGGGCCATAGGTATGGAGGGTCCCTGCTTCCCAGAGAAACCTCACCCCTGTAAGTGCAGGTCCCACGGGGCAAGTGGCCCTGCATGGCTGCCACAGGGTCTCAGGTTTAGGATGCCAGAATTGTGCCCATGTGCCCTCATCTTCCCTTGGAACATCTAAAGACCTCCTACCCTGCTGCTGGGTCTGGGGCAGAAGCACAGCCCTGTCTCTGTGGCTGCCCCAGAACGACCCTCCCAGGAGAAGGCTCCCACTCCTCACACTCCTCCCACCTGGATGGTGGCAGGAAAGGGCCCCAGGGCATGTCCTCAGGCCCTGGGTGAAACCCAGTGGGCCGATGCTGCAGACACAGGGGTCTTCCCCCACCGGCTCCACACCCAGGCTGCCAGGCTCCAGCGAGGGAGAACGCAGAAACCTGCCCCGAACACGTGAGGCTGCCAGCAACCAGGCCTGACTTTATGCTACTTCATTTAACTAATTCAGAAACCGTTTCCCAAAACACACAGGCCGCTCGTATTTGTCACTACTTGGAGGCCTGGGAGCCGTACTCCGCCCTGGTGGCCCAGTCTGTGTTAAGGGGCTGGAATGCCCACCTGTGAGATGAAGCCAGGGACTTAAAGGGTTTTCACTTCAAAAAAGGATGTGCATTTTCAAGCAGCTTGTGAGGGCTGGAGGGTTTAGTGCTCAGTGAAGCTGTGGAATGACTGAGCCACCTCACAAGCTGCGGCCACACCAGGTGCTCACGGGGCGGGTCCCAGGGCCCCCTGAATTCACTTCTCCTTTTGGAAGTCTATTTTTAAACATCTAGGTTTCAGCACCTTTGCTGGCTGTTATTAACCACGAAGACACAAACATGACAGGTTTGGGTGGCTTTTGGGGTATAAAAGCAGTGTTATTCTTCCTGTTCTTTCCAAGAAACGAACACCTCTTTCCACTGTCATTGTCCCTTTAAACTGACACTGTCCCTGCCCCTTTAGTTTACACAATCGTACATGCTCAGAAGAATATTTAATTAGCTCACCAAGTCTATTTGCTGGGGGACAATACCACTGACGACACTGAACATCCAAATCACACAGCTCCTCTAGTGAGCACCAGGAGCCTCTTGAATCTCTACCTTCTGATACCGTGCACTGAGCTGGCAGGTGCTCGCGAGTTGCAGGGGAAACTTAATGAAAACATCAACAGAAGTCTGAGAGATGCCCTTTGTAACTTAGCAAACTCCAAAATGAAGCATGAGTCCCAGGCAGGGTGGCCCAGGACAAGCTGTGCCTCACGCTAAGCCTCAGGCCCCTGAGGTTAAGAGGGGGATGGTGCCCAGCCACCCCTCCCCCATGACGGTGCTACACAAGGGCACGCCTGACCTCGAGCACAGAACAGGAGTCTCCAGCAAGGACTCCCCTGCACAGCAGGGGCCCCCAAGTCAGGAACACACAACATGCATGCACCGCATGCATAGACTAGCACGACTAAAGAAAAGGTATCTCCGTGAGCAGCAAGGGAACTCGGGCTATTTTTCAAACAGGCCCTTCATCTGTATCAATGGCACCATTTCAAAGCAGAATGCAGAGCCACATAAAGTGTTCTCTAAAACACAGCCAACGTGATTTCATCCCTGAAGACGGTCTACACTCAGCCACTGCAGCTTCTATAAAAATAAATCTCAAGTGCAGGTGTGGAATTGTACAGAAAAAAGACTCCGACACAGAGCCGGAGAGACAGACGGCGCTCCACACCAACAATCCAAATCAGAAGGCTTGCCTTCAGGGAGCATCAGCCCATGAGCCTCACACACTTGCACGCCAGGGCTGCAACCACGTCACCTGCTGTGAGGCCCCACTCTCAGGCCGCCGGGACCCTGGCACACAAGCCTGGCACTGTGAGAAGCCCGGTGGTGCCTGCAGCCTGAGTGAGGGCTGCATGGATGGATGTCCCTCCCTTCTGTCCCAGCGCCTACTGCTCCGCATGTGCCCTGCGGACCCCCAACTGCAAGAACCACCAGTTCATCTAGTCCACCGACACCAGAAGCCTGGGTCATGCTCGCACCTATGCTATCTTCTTCTTTTTTTTTTTTTCTTTTGAGACAGAGTCTTGTTCTGTCGCCCAGGCCAGAGTGCAATGGTGCAATTTTTGCTCACTGCAACCTCTGCCTCCTGGGTTCAAGCGATTCTCTTGCCTCAGCCTCCTGAGTAGCTGGGATTACAGATGTCTGTCACTGCACCCGGCTAATTTTTCTATTTTTAGTAGAGACGAGGTTTTGCCATCTTGGCCAGGCTGGTCTCGAACTCCTGACCTCATGATCCACCCGCATCAGCCTCCCAAAGTGCTAGGAATATGAGCGTGAGCCACAGTGCCCGGCCTAGGCTGTCTTCTTAATAAAGAAAAACAGGATATTTAAGAAGTAAAATATTAAGAACTCATTGTTCCCCGGGCATGCAAAGCAAAGACACTCTCGAATTCCACTCCTTGCCCCCTACCTGCACCCCCACTGCCACAGCCAGGCCATCGGGCCCTCTGTACTTTGACTCCCGCCATCACCAGGACTTTAGGGTCTACTGGAGAATCAGACAAGGAAGAAAGAGGAAGACCCCAAGTGACGTGTGCCCTCATCACCTAGGTGGTCCACAAACATTGCTGAAGGAGTGCCTGGAGCTGGCCAGGAAAGGAAGCAGGAGAAAAAGACATCTGTGCAGCAGCAGGGAGCCTCTCAAGGAACAACAAGCTGGTCCACTTTAGCACGGGGAGCGGGGCGAAGCTGGGAAGGTGAGAGGTGGCCAGTCACAGAGGTTTTCTGGGCCACAGTAAGATTTTACAATAAACTCTTCCTGGGGCAACCGGAAGGGCACTGAGGATGAAACAATGGGGAACACGGCTGGGCTGGGCTGCCACTCAAGAGGGTGGGCGGGGCCTGCAGCAGCAGCGGGATGGCCTGGTCCGGTGCAGCTCCCACACGGCCAGCGTCTCTGGCTTTCAATCAGCATTTCCTGAGGATGGACAGCGCAGAATCCTCCTGGCTAAAGACCACCAACCCCACAGTCATCCCAAAGGTAACACTGAATTTCCCCTTTCAAAAAAAACACACAGTTGGAAGGACCTTCTGTTTAGACCACACCTGCTCAAAGGGTCACATGGAGAAGAGTTTTCACACGTTTCAGGCAGGGCCACATCCCTGCACTCAGGGGAATCAGACACGGGCAGCCTGCTCTGAGTCCCTTCTCTAAACACAACCTGCTGTCTGCCACGCCCAGCCTCCTACTCGTCACATGTCAAGGGACACTGACCGCTGCCGTCACCACTCCATCCTAACTTCTCCAGCCTTGGCAACTTGGTTTCCCTTTTCTTTCTGACTTATGCTTCATTGGTTCATCTAATCATAAAAGTTTTCAAGTAGAAATCACACACCGTAGAGTGATTAAACTCGACTAAAAAGTAAAGTAAATGAGAACGTCTGACAGGAAGGGGAGAAACTGAAGAGGAACGCAGAGGAAATGTGAGGTTTGGGATGGGGCATCGACACATCACTGCGTATATTCTAACTTTTTGTTGTAAATGAATCCAGTACTTGTGCATTCTTCCTTCTGTTGTGGCTATTTTAAGAGGTGATTTCCCTGGCCTTTCCAGTGCCTCTCGGAGCCCCAGGTCAACCACAGCAATGATCTCGTGAATAGCCAGAGCTGCTTGCCAGGGAGTGCAGGTGCAGGCGGGCCACAGGGTGGCCAGGGCCCTGCAGCAGTGGCCTGACCAGTCGCCTTGGCCAGTCTGATGACCGACACATCTCTGGGCCCTCAGCAAAATGCTGGGGGCTTCCAGCAGGAGGCTTGGTGTTTTAAGAAACATTGTACTTTATGTGGCTTGATTTAATGCTAATGACTTGTGCCTTTTTTAATACAACATAATGTTTCATTGTGTTTTCTCCTTTTCTCTCTGGGTAACTACAAAGTATAATAAAAAAGAAATTAATTTAATAAATCTCTATGCAATTCAAGTCACTATGACTCATCTCCAATGTCAAAAATTAGAGAAAAGGCATTCTCAAAGATGCCATGACTCTGTGCTATTAGAAGTATTTTCTCTTCCAGATAATGTAGGGCCACACTGTAAGTACAGGCCCTTGAGTGACATGAGTGATTCTTCCACAGTGTGTGACACACACACGAGAATTACTATCACCAACGCACACGAGTAACTGAATGTGCAGAGAGCATCTACAATGTTCATCTATTAACAAGCACCTCACAGACACCTGTGACGACAGAAGACAGGAGGAGTGACATTTCATCAGTCCCCTTTATATCATCGCTTCTATTCAGGGTGGCAAAGGTTCACTGGTTTGTTCTTCTGGAGGTGCGTGCGGATCTCCACAGTGAAACCCAGCGGGTGAGCGCGTGTCACTAGAAAGCTCACAACAGAGGAGCTGGGCTGCACAGCACCTCACTGCAGGAAGTGAGACTTTGCACATAGCCACTACTCATCAACAATATGAAATCTTAAACAATAAAAACAGCTAATTTAAAAAATACAGGCTTCGCATCTTATTTCTCCAACAGTAGATCAAAGCATGGAAGAGTGGTGGAGGTTTGCTCTCCAGAGAAAAGGCAGTAAGAAAACGCTGACCTGCAGCTTCCCAGGCTGGGCCTGTGCTAGCCCAGCTGCCTTTTCTAAGCCTTCGCTTAGGCCAGAGAAATCAGTTGCCTTTCTGCTTGCAAAGGTCAAGGACTCAGCTCAAGCAGTTTGCTAAGCCCTGAAGGGGAACACAGGCAAGCTCCTCTACCCTTTGATCTGGCCACAGTCCTAAGATTCTTACCTGTAAATGAAGGATTTTGGATTCATTATTTCGAAGCATTTCCTTTTGTCTCTCAATTTCAATTTCAAAGCTACATATCTGATTGTGCAAACTTTGTATGCTCTTGTTTTTTTCTACACTTTCATTCTGCAACAAGGAAACCTAAAAAAGAAATTCTTTAATTAATGTAACCAAAAGTGGTTTTCATATTAATTAACAACGATATAAATTAAATTTTCACAAGATAGGCCTTCTGTTAGCTTATTGACAGAGTTTCAAAGAAAAAAATCCCTTCACACAGAAAGTGGTAGTCCTGGTACTTTTCTTTCTTTCTTTTTTCCCTCTAGAGACAGGGTCTTGCTCTGTCCCCAGGCTGGAGTGCAGTGGTGCAATCATAGCTCACTGCAGCCTTGACCTCCTGGGCTCAAGTGATCCTCCCACTTCAGCCTCTTGAGTAGCTAGGCCTACAGGTACATGCCGCCACCATGTCTGGTTAGGCTTTAAAAAAATTTTTTTTTTTAGAGCTGGGGTCTTGCTATGTTGCCCAGGCTAGTCTCAAACTCCTGGCCTAAAGTGATCCTCTTACCTCAGCCTCTCAAAGGGTTGGGATTAGAGGTGTAAGTCACCACACCCAGCCAGTCCTAATTTAATAGGGAATCCCATAAACAGTGTTTCTCAGAATCTCTTCCAGTAATTAGGGTGAGGCAAAGTGCAGCAGCTGATTGAATTTCAGAATAAATGAGATGCTTTATCAAGTTTTTGCTAAAAACTAGTAAATCTTTTACCAGAGTATTTTTCAACTGTTGACCAGGAAACATAGTAAGAAACAGATGCTTATGTACCACCCCATTTATACCAACGTGTGTGGGTATCCCTGAAAACAGGTGTCATAAAGCCGTACTTGCCCTAATAATTTACAATGCACCCTGATATTTTTTCTTTTATTCCATTTCATTTAAGAAAATACTAGTCCCTGGAGAACACTATGCTAAGTGAAATAAGCCAAGCACAGAAAGGCAAACAGTATGTACTCTCATTTAGACGTGGGATCTAAAAAAGTCAGGCTCACAGAAGCAGGGAATGGGGGTTACCGGGGCTGGTGGAGGTGGGCGGTGGAGGTGGGTGGTGGGGTGGGCTTGTGGAGCTGCTGGACAGAGGGCACACAGCCTCAGGTAGACAGAAGGACGGATGTTTTTGAGCCCACTGAACAGCATGGTGACTGATTCATACTAACACGTGTTTCAAGACTGCTGGGGGAGATTTCAAATGAAGTGACGTGATGGATATGTTAATTAGCTCGATTTAACTATTCTGCAATGTGTATGTATATATACCAAAACATTACACTGTACCCCATAAATATAAACAATGCTGGTCACAACCTACTAAATTATTTCACATCCACCCAGGGGTCACACCCTGCAGTTTCAACAGCTGTGCCAACATAATGACAGCGTGATGAGAATACAAAAAATTACATGGGTGCTGCACCCTTGGGGCCAGTCTGCTCCCCCTCAACACGGGCAGGCATAACTGACACCTGAGGATACCCTTCCACAGAAGCACAGAAGAGCCTCTGCAACCCAGCCGAAGGGAGGGCCTGCTGAGTGAGCATTTCCAGCCCCACCTCTGACCTTTCCAAATCTTTCTGAAAGATAATTAGCTCCCAAAGACAAATTAACACCTGGTCTCAAAGATGAAAGTTCAAGGGTAACTCCTACGAGGCTTTCTTCCTCACAAGATTTTTACAAAGGGCATCTTGACCCCCCATCTACCAACGGGTGTCTCTGTCTATCCATTGGGGTGGTGGTCTCCACCCCAGAAGACCCTAAGCTCTGTGCCAGATGCGATGTGTGCCTCTCCAACGATGTACACTCTAAAACCACCAATGCCTGGGGACCAATGGTCACAAAGGTGACGGCCTGAGGGCATCTCGGCACAAAACCAGATGTGATAAAGAGCTGACTCTTCATGCTGTCCATCTAAAGGATAACCAGCCTAAAGACGGGCGTCCTTTTCATATTCGGCACAGTTGGCCAAGTCAAGAGACATCTTTTGAAGCAATCACTGTCTTATTTTAAAACAAGTATGTATTTACTAAGGAATACAAAACTTGCAATGTCTCATGGGCAAAATATAACTTCACTTTCCTAGGATTTTACTCCGCAAAACTTGGCTTTCCTTCCTTCCTTGCCTCATACGTCCACGAACTCCTACAAGTGGTCAACCTGCATGAATGTGGAGCGGGCCATATGCAGCATCGCGTGGTGGTTGTGTCCCTCTGAAAGTAACAATTCATTCATTTCCATCTGTCAAACACGGGACAGAATTCTCAGACTCTTTATTCTCATATCCCTGCAAAAAGATGACATGTATGCCAACTCTTTTGACAAAAATCCCAGTAATGTCTCCAAAACATTGTCAATAGGCCAGCTGTCATGGCTCACACGTGTAGTCTCAGCACTTCGGAAGGCTGAGGCAGACGGACAACTTGAGCCCAAGGAATTGAAAACCAGCCTGGACAACAACATGGCAAAACCCCGTCTCTACAAAAAGAAAAAACAAAAATTAGCCAGGTGTGGTGCAAACGCCTACAGTCCCAGCTACCGGGGAGGCTGGGTGCAACCACTTGAGCCCGGGAGGTCAAGGCTGCAGTGAGCCATAACTGCGCCACTGCTCTCCAACAAATCTAGCAGTTGAGCATGAGCAGAAGCAACTTACAGCAATGAACACATGTCATGTCACACTAAACTTTTTTTTTTTTTTTTTTTTTTTGAGACAGAGTCTTGCTGTCACCCAGGCTGGAGTGCAGTGGCGGGATCTCGGCTCACTGCAAGCTCCGCCTCCTGGGTTCATGCCATTCTCCTGCCTCAGCCTCCCAAGTAGCTGGGACTACAGGTGCCCGCCACCTCGCCCGGCTAGTTTTTTTGTATTTTTTTAGTAGAGACGGGGTTTCACCGCGTTAGCCAGGATGGTCTCGATCTCCTGACCTCGTGATCCGCCCGTCTCGGCCTCCCAAAGTGCTGGGATTACAGGCTTCAGCCACCGCGCCCAGTCGCTAATTTTTAAATTTTTTGTAGAGACAAGGTTTCATCATGTTGCCCAGGTTGATCTTGGACTCCTGGGTTCAAGCAATCCTCCTGCCTTGGCTTCCCAAAGTGCTGGGATTACAGGCTTGAGCCACCGCGCCCGGCCTGACCAGGTTGATCTTGGACTCCTGGACTCAAGCAATCCGCCTGCCTCAGCCTCCCAAAGTGCTGGGATTACAGGCTTGAGCCACCGCGCCCGGCCAACTCAACTTCTTTCACTTTAGGACTTCCCTTATTTAAACTATTTATTTATTTATTTATTTAATCAAAGAATCCAACTCCCAGGTCCTGCAGATCACTGCTTCCACTCGTCTACAGCGAGATGCCGCAGGCACAGGAAAGTCCACCTGGCAGGTGTGTTTCCAGGGAGCCGGCGAAACAGCTGCCCAGGAGGTCCGAGGTTCTTTGCACTGAGAACGTCCTTTACTCCAGCCCACTTTGGTGGGGGGGCTTTACATTTCCCCTCCATTTAAGCCTTCTTAAAATATAAAATGGGTGTTTTTAAGTCCATTTTGCAGTTTTTCTTTAGTTTGACTACGAATGTGAGGAATGGCCTGTTTTTTTTTTTTTTTTGGAGACAAGTCTTACTCTGTTGCCCAGGCTGGCGTGATCTTGGCTCACTGCAACCTCTGCCTCCCGGGTTCAAGCAATTCTCCAGCCTCAGCCTCCCGAGTAGCTGGGACTACAGGCGCACACCGCCACACCCGGCTAATTTTTTTGTATTTTAGTAGAGACAGGGTTTCACAGTGTTGCCCAGGCTGGTCTTGAACTCCTAAGCTCAGGCAATCTGCCTGCCTCGGCCTCCCAAAGTGCTACGATTACAGGCGTGAGCCACCGTGCCTGGCTGAGGATCAGTCTTTTTGAACCAGCTCAAACATTCTATTTTCTATGACAGATGAACAAAATACCCTAAGAAATTCCAACTGAATAATTCTATAATAAGAAATAAATTCCCATTGTAAGTAAACATAAAATCGCTGCTCTTTGTCCAGCCTTTGCTTTTGGACCTAGTGAAGGGCACCATGCACATTCTCATGAGCACAGTGAGAATGTGCAGAGCCGAGGCTTGGCTGGCCTGACAACAGGGCGGGGGTTTGCTCTGATGGGCAGAGTCCAGGAGGTATCAGTCCTTTGGCAACGTCCAAGAAGGCAGTGCACAGCTGTGCATCCTGCACTCTCGGGGCTTCCACCGTGACTTGGCTGGAGATAGTTTAAACACATGAGGCATTCACAGAGTGAGAAACTGCTGCACTGTGTGTGGGCGGGCTGCTCTGGTATGTCCTGGGGTTTCCAATGATGCAAACCATACACTTTCAGTGGGGAAAAGAGCACAGAATGGAAAGGAAGGAGCCGAATCCTCACAGGGACTCGGCCTTGAAAGGCTGCCAGATGACAGCATAGTTCACAACCATCCTGCTGGATAACCACGTGCTGCAGACCTGTTCAACTACTGTGTATCTAACTCAGTGGTAACATTCTTTTTTTTTTTTTTTTGAGACAGTCGCATTCTGTCGCCCAGGCTGGAGTGCAGTGGCGAGATCTTGGCTCACTGCAAACTCCATTTCTCGGGTTCAAGCAACTCTCCTGCCTCAGCCTCCCAAGTAGCTGGGACTACAGGCACCCGCCACCATGTCCGGCTAATTTTTGAATTTTTTTTGTTGTTAGAGATGGGGTTTCTCCATGTTGGTCAAGCTGGTCTTGAACTCCCAACCTCAGGTGATCTGCCTGCCTCGGTCTCCCAAAGTGCTGGGATTATAGGCATGAGCCACCACGCCCAGCCACAAAGCCTATCCTTTTCTTTTTTTTCTTTTTGAGACGGAGTCTCACTCTGTCGCCCAGGCTGAAGTGCAGTGGCGCCATCTCGGCTCACTGCAAGCTTTGCCTCCTGGGTTCACGCCATTCTCTTGCCTTAGCCTCCCAAGTAGCTGGGACTATAGGCGCCCGCCACCACGGCCGGTTAATTTTTTTTTTTTTTTTTTGTATTTTTAGTGGAGACGGGGTTTCACCGTGTTAGCCAGGATGGTCTCAATCTCCTGACCTCATGATCCGCCCACTTTGGCCTCCCAAAGTGCTGGGATTACAGGCGTGAGCCACCACGCCCGGCCCACAAAGCCTATCCTTAAATTGAAACGAAGAACCTTCTAAATGAGAAACACAGCATCTATGAGAGGTAAGAAGCCTTATGATCTATGCCTACAATTTTGAAAAGACAGAAACAAAATGCCAGCTTCAAAAAGAGGGAAAAAAGATTCCTAGGTAAACCACCGTTGAACTCAGAGCAAATGCTCTATGCTCACAAGAAGATCTCCAGGATTCTGCAAATATGAGTTCTGCATTGCTGCCTATCAGCATTGTTCTGCTCCATGTGTGTGCACAGGACGCCAATCCTTCCACTGCTTCTCAGCCTCAGCTCAAGCATTTAGATGAAAAACTCTTAAGGCAGGTTAAAGGGAAATATTTTGATTTAAAATTTTAGACTCCTTGCAGTATATTTACATTTTAAATTGCTGGGATTTAACACTGGAAACAAGACATTCAAATCTTTACGAAACTCAAATGTCAACTCCATTGGCTGTTCTAATTCACCTTAGTGTCCTCCTACTACAAGTTCTCAATACATGTTTGCTGAATATTGAATTGTTTATATTTTTGTAATTAAGCCACAATGGTAGATCCTACAACAACTTCTTCTCTACCAATTCTTAGAGGTTTTCATCTTCTCACGATAAGAAGGCGGCCCCGCTGAGCTGAACATCACAGAACAAACTCCACTGAGAACTAGCATTATTGCAGGAAGGTGCTTGCTCCTGCATCTGCAGGCCTGCAATGAAGGTCTCTCAAGAACAGCATGGAGGCTGGGCACGGTGGCCCACACCTGTAATCCCAGCACTTTGGGAGGCTGAGGTGGGCAGATCACCTGAGGTCGGGAGTTTGAGACCAGCCTGACCGACATGGCAAAACCCCGTCTCTACAAAAATACAAAAATTAGCTGGGTATGGTGGTGCGCACCTGTAATACCAGCTACTCGGGAGGCTGAGGCAGGAGAATTGCTTGAACCCGGGAGGCAGAGGCTGCAGTGAACGGAGATCATGCCATTGCACTCCAGCCTGGGCTACAAGAGCAAAACTCCGTCTCAAAAAAAAAAAAAAAGAAAAGAAAAAAAAAAACAGCATGGGAGAGTGAGTCTTTTCGGGAAGTGGTCCCATCTATGTGGAGAGCGCACCAAGTTTCACAAGGTGTCAAATGACAAAATCAATTGTAGTCATATCAAATATTTTCTCCTGTTTGTCTCTTGTAAAAGACACAGAAGTGTAACACATTTAGAGGGGTAACCACCCAGGTCAGGGCTGGCAAACTTATTCTATAAAGAGCTAAGTAGTCAATATCTCAAGCTGTACAGTCCCCACAATCTCTAACTCTGCTGCTTTCGAGCGAAAGAAGCCACAGACAACACAGAGCGAGTAAGGATGGCTGTCTTCCAACAGAACTTTGCTTACAAAAAAACCCAGCAGGGTGGGGACTGGGCATCTGATCATCTCTGTGCTGGATGGATGCTAAAAAAATCACAATGTGATTGACTTTAAAAAAGCACTTCACACTTGTTTGGCAATTAAAAAACAAAGAACAAAAATAAAACACCTTCATTTATAAGCTCAAGAACACACAGAGTTTTTTTGACAATCTCTTGATATGGTTTCTTTTATCCAAAACCCATTAATAACTATAAAAAGGTTCTGTCTTTAAATAATCTGCAGAGATGATATAAATCCCATAGCAGCAGGAAAGTGTGCAGCCCACCTTCTTTTCGAGCGAGTTGCTCCACTCCTTCAGCAGGTTGACGTGCTGCACGGCGGAGCTGGCCTCGTGGGCCTTGATCTGCTGGTTTGTCCCCTGCGAGAGCAAAGATGTGAGGCATTCAGCGAACCTCGCTGCATTCCAAAGGGCAGAAAGGCTAACATACAACCCTAAAAGCAGCACTAAACACAAAGAGGGGAGACCTATTTGCATCAAATGAACAGGGAATCTCTGCGCCTAAGGAGGGCTGTGCTCAGGGCCACCTGGCTACTGCGTGCAGGTGAGGAGGCCAGCACCCTTCAATGCCACAGTGAGCCAGCAGAGCCAGCACCCTGCAATGCCACAGTGAGCATCTCAGGGTTATCTCCTCATCCCTCCAGCTCATCTCAAGCGGCTTCTTATCAAGGGTTGACACTTGTAACATCAAGAAATTAAATTTTAAACTCATTCTTGATCTATTATAAACTATTTTTCTCATTAAAATGTAGTATAAGTGGAAAATGTTTAGATACCCATAGTTGTGGCAAGATACTGCCACAACTTTACTAGACAACAGTCTAGTAAACATGTAAGCAAAGCAGGATTCAAAAGAATTTACTAAAGTATTAATTTATTAGTTCAAATACACTGTATCCAAAGATGTATTGCTCTTCACCATTCTAGTATTCTTAGAAAAGTTACATACAAAACAAATACAATCTACAGAGTACATAAGATGTAGACCATTTTAGAGTCAGGAATAAGCACATGTAATTGTACTTCATACATTTAAGGAAATAATTTGTCTGAAATATAATTTGTTTTGCTATTAGAAAATTAAGAAGCCACAGAAAGCATTTTAATGATCTCCAAAACATATACTCTGTACATAGAATATTCATATATATATGTTGATATAAGTGTTGCAATATATAAACATATATATACACATACACAGAGAGAATGAATGATACTACGTACGACAGAACAGGGGAGGCTCAGTCTTGCTAGAGACTAAAGCAAAGGAAGGCACAGTCATTCTTACTCTTTGGCTGTTCTCTTCCTCAGAAAATACTAAGATGCCAATCTCTCTGTACTGACTTCATAATAATGTATTGGTGCTACGTAAAATATAAAATACTGTAATTGTAACATATACTGCCTCTTGATAGTTTTAAGATACATATATTTAAATGAAAACTTGGTTCCATTCACTAGCAATCTCAGATGTGTTAAAAAATAAACAACAACAAAACACCAGATGCAGATTTCTCACACTACATGTGTGGCAGCAGCAGAGACGCCCTCCCCACGCTGTTCTCTGGGAGGTATGCTCTCTAAGAGCTGTGTTCCATTTTGCGTCTGTCCCCAGCTGGGGTCAGAGTCAGCACAGACATGTATATCAAATGCATTTATGGATACACACGTGTGTGATCATTATGGCTGTGTACTGACACACACGCTGTTGAAACTATGCTCAGTTTGATATTCGCTTATATTCAGGTAACAGCGAAAATTTCCGTAACAATCTATCTGAAAACCCCACCAAACGTCAAGCCTGTCTGTTGCGTTACTAGCTGGTTTGGATGTAGCACTTCTCTTAATGTATTAACTTCCACCTCAGCGCAGTGTCTCCCTGCAGTCTCAAAACACCACCAACTGGAAAGCGAGCATCCCGCCTGCTGCACGTGGCTTTCGTCACCCAGGCAACAGGGTGTTTCAGTTTCATGACGAAGAATAAGGAGTCCAGAGCTTGCATGTTAAAATGTTAATATAATAACTTTCTCTCATGGCAGAATGTCAGTGACTGGGAAGGACAAATGTCGGATACTGACCTGAAAAACGCAGCCATAGCGCTTAAAACTACAGGTGCTGGGGGCATTGACACACTCTGACAAGTGTGCACTCAACTGCAACGGGAAAGAGACGTGAGTTGTGGCACAAACGTTTGCATGAAAATGTTCAAACATATTAGGGCACAGATAGCATCTGGGCTGTACTATTAAGAATGGTGTTTATCGCTACTGGTGTGTATATATCATCTCTGCCTAGACTTTTATGCAGTAAATATACGGTCTAGTCACGTGTATACACATATACGCCAATATACAAGAATACATTTACTATAACATTTCTTAAACTTGTAGTTTCTTTAGAACAAATTGTTCAAAATGTGACATGCCATCTGTAGTGCCAGAATTTAAAAAAGAAAGAAAAAACATAAACTGAAATGCACATTTAAAGACCATAAACAAAAATTGCATGAAAACACAAAAAAATAGAAAGCATTCAGAATGCAACTGGGTCACACACCTAATATACGGTACACAAAAATAAATATATTTTCAAAGCAAGCTTACACAATGTACCATTACTCATAATACTTGAGATAAGTGCAGATGAGTTTTTCCTTCATCTGAAAAGACTTTTTCCCTCTGTAAGGGCCAGAAACTCAGGTAGCTTTTCAAAGACCTCTAAGATCAGTCTAGCAATAGAATCTTAATACTGTCACCTCTAATTGATGGCAGGAAATTTAGGTGGGGCTGGGAGCAGATAACTCATTTTGCAAGAAAAAAGTCCCTTGCTCAGCTCAAATGCTGGTGAGTCATCAAATAAAAATCACTTATGATGCCCTAACAAGAGAAAAGGGAATGGAAAAGATTACATTTTAAGGAGTTAGGCTAATACAAATGAGGTATAGTTTGGTCTTTTTTTTTCTTTATCATGCCCCAAGACTGAGCAGAAGTTTTGCCTTTTATTGAAGAAATTCCCATCAGGAAACTCTAGGGATAGATCTTCACAGAACACAGACTCTCCCTGGGAGGAGGGTGTGTGGGTGCAGCAGTGGGTGCAGCAGCTGGAAGGTGTCTTTCTGTGTGCCAGCACGCATGTGTTCCCAAGGCCTCACAAAGCACGTCCTCCTGGAGGATGCAGCTAAGTTCTACAACTTCTCAGTCTACCAGGACAAAGGCGGTCCTTCCCTCTAGGTGGGTATTTACAACAGAGGGGAAAATGGATCCCTGCTGCGAAAGCTAAGGAGGAGGGGCAGGGACTGAGGGGCCCATGTGGCCACCGCTAGGGTTAACCTTCAAGGAAGGTCTCAGAGCCAGGGCAGAGTCAAGGCGGTAGGAACCTGGCAGCCTGATGCCCTTGCTGCTCCTTGGAACCCAGATCGGCTGTCCCTGCAGGAAGCGCCCATAAGGCACGTGACAGGTGACTGGCAGGGAAACGCAGTGTGAAGACTGCACAGAACAAGGTTAATTTAAAAACTTAGAATGTATTCCCAGTGTCATTACTGCAATAACAAACCTGCATGTCAACACTATTACATGTTAAACCAGGGACACACTGGGCTTGATGCATGTCATTTTCAGTGTACTAGAGTAAATTCGGTGTTGGACCTTTTTCTAAATTGGTTTTATTATCAGTATTCTGAGTCTTAGGGAATCTACAGGAGCTCTGGAATAGGGGCAGGAATAACCTATAGCTCAATAGTATCTTTCATCAGAAACCCAACAGAGATGCAGGTTTAACAATGTTTTAAAAAAATAAATTATTGGCCGGGCGTGGTGGCTCACGCCTGTAATCCCAGCACTTTGGGAGGCCGAGGCGGGCGGATCACGAGGTCAGCAGATCGAGACCATCCTGGCGAACACGGTGAAACCCTGTCTCTACTGAAAATACAAAAAAATTAGCCAGGCATGGTGGCGGGTGCCTGTAGTCCCAGCTTCTAGGGAGATTGAGGCAGGAGAATGGCATTAACCCGGGAGGTGGCGGAGCTTGCAGTGAGCAGAGATCACGCCACTGCACTCCAGCCTGGGCGACAGAGCGAGATTCCATCTCAAAAAGAAAATAAAAAATAAAAATAAATAACAAAACTAAAAATAAAATAAATAAATAAATAATTGGCTGGGTGCAGTGGCTCACACCTGTAATCCCAGCACTTTAGGAGGCTGAGGCGGGCGGATCACGAGGTCAGGAGATCGAGACCATCCTAACTTGGTGAAACCCCATCTCTACAAAAAATACAAAAAATTAGCCAAGCGTGGCGGCGGGCGCCTGTAGTCCCAGCTACTCGGGAGACTGAGGCAGGAGAATGGCGTAAAGCCAGGAGGCAGAGCTTGCAGTGAGCTGAGATCCGGCCACTGCACTCCAGCCTGGGCGACAGAGCAAGATTCCGTCTCAAAAAAAAAAAAATTATTTCAACAGCACGCACTCTTTAAACATTAACAGAGGATTGTCCAGTTGTGGCAATAATTTACATGTATTTTTCCCCAGTTCCTCCCAGGGGCACATTCAGGGCCCAGAGGCCACTGTCATCAGGCGAGACTGTGCCCTGACCCTCAGCTTCAAGGTCCTGGGAGGGCACACCTTGGGGGAGAGTGGCTCTCTGGGCCCTCCTGTACCCTGAGTCCCTGACCCTAGCCCCACATGGGCCCTCTTGCTCAGTCAGGGGCATGCGAGGCTAGTTATTCCTGCTGCTACCCTGTATCTACTAATAAAATTTCAGTCTGTTGAAAAATGCTGAGGTGAGCAGGTGAGCCGGCTCCTTAGATCAGGGTACCACACATCCAGGGAGCCCAGGGTAGCCCCAGATGACTCCCAGAATACTAACTAAAGGAGCTCCAGGTAAGGACAGATGCAGAAACATTAAGAATCCTTGAAATTTTCCCAACTGGACATATCCTGATCAAGTGAAGTCAACGCAAAATCTACCTATCTCAAAGAGAGTGCCAACGGCAATGTGAGACGCGCAACCCTTGGGGGAGGCCACGTGGGGCCCTTCTGGAGGCCCTAAAATGTGGGAGCTGTCCTCCACCCAGCATGTGTCAGCAAAATGGTTCTGAAGTGTCTCTAATTCATGTTCTTGAGATAATCTAACAGCAATTACTATTCTATAGAGTTAAAATTACTTTAAAAACCCCTTGTCACCTTTGCTTGTACTGTATATAAAATATTCCCATTTTCTTAATGCTGCACAATCTTTGCTCTGAATTTACCACACTGTAGTTTTGTTTTGTTTTGTTTTTGAGATGGAGTTTCGCTCTTGTTGCCCAGGCTGGAGTGCAGTAGTGCGATCTCGGCTCAGTGCAACCTCCGCCTCCTGGGTTCAAATGATTCTCCTGCCTTAGACTCCTGAATAGCTGGGATTACAGGTGTGCACCACCACGCCCGGCTAGTTTTTATATTTTTAGCAGAGACGAGGTTTCAGCATGTTGGCCAGTCTGGTTTTGAACTCCTGATCTCAGGTGACCCACCCGCCGAGGCCTCCAAAAGTGCTGGGATTACAGGTGTGAGCCACTGCACCCGACCCTACACCGTAGCTTTTGACTGCTTGCTTCTGACTTCCAAAAAATGGTGTAAGGCTTTTTGCTGCGGTTTTTATTTTTCTGGCTATACACATGACTCCCATGAACTGGGAAAACGTGAGGCTTTGGCTATGCAGGGAAGGGGACCCAGGCACGCAGCCCTGAGGGCTTCACAGGCTCCCGGCCGGGCCCGGCCGCCCCTACCTCGCTCCTCAGGAGAGTCTGGACGCTGCATTTGTGAGGGCAGGATACCACCACGCAGGGACAGTCGGTGTCCTCATGTTTCTACAGAGAGAGAAAGTACTGTCAACTTTAAACATACAACCTGTCTTCCTTCAGTCCCGCTGAGATCCCAACGGGGCCCCCAGGAATGGCTCTGCTCACCATCACTGTCCCCTAAGCTACGGCACTCACGTTACGTACGGCTGAGTCATTATTGTCACAGAGTGTGAGTGTCTCAGGACATCACAGGTATCTCCAAAGATCTGGTCAGATCTGACCAGTGAGGGCGGCTTGCCTCAGAACAGTCTGCTGGTGGGGGCCTCGCCACAAGGGCTTCCACTTAGCACATCTCCTCTGTGCCAGAGCTGCTTCTGGTTCACACAGCCCCTAACGTGCAATGCCCAGGGAGGCATGGCCACTCACATAGCACTCACAGCACAGGTGGACAGCGGAGCTGGGGACACAGCTGGTGTCTGCCTCTGCTGGTTGAGAGACGGAGGGTTTCCCTTGGCCTCTCAGTTTGGAGTCTGGAAATAATGCTTCCCAAGTACGTGAGAGCAGCATGACCTACTGAGTATTTACATTACTCACCTAGAACCTTAATCTAGATTATTTTTAGTCCATGGAAAATTGGGATAAGTTTTGGGTTAGGCCTTCTCTAATAGCACACACTTCATGTTTGCTGAGGCTGGATGATGGCGACTGTTAAGCCCAATCCCACGGGCACCTGCTGGGTGCCTGTCCACGAGCAGAGCAAGGGCAAGGACTCCCCACAAGGAAATCAACTGCAGGGCCCCTGGGGAGAGACTAACGAGGCAGAGCCAGAGATGGAGCCATGCTGAACAGTCCCTGCTGAGCAGGAAGACTGTGGCAGCGGCTTCCCAGTGGCCACGGGATGCCTCAACCCTCCCCCCATCCATCTTTTCAGGTCCTCTTTTGGCCTTCAGTTATGTTGCTGTTCCACTGAAGGAATTGGGGAGGCATTTGCTGAAAGCCAGAGTCTGACTGGCGGGTCTGAGGGCCGAGGAAGGCAGCAGCCCACTCGAGGGAAGCTCGTCCTCAAAACGTAGTTGCTCCTCTCCCCCAGGAGCTTGCTTTCCTCGGCAGGTTTCTAAGGCCCAACTCTGCAGGCACCCACGGTGGTTCTGTGGCAGAATAGGGATGGGGCTCAGGGCAGGGAGGCTGAGGAAGAAGGGGGTGGAGGGCAGCACTGTGGCCAGGGAAGAGGAGGCCAATCAATATCTTTCTGTGTTTAACTTCCAACAAGCCCACACCAATCTACACTCCCAGTATCGTGGGGATGCATGTTTCCACACCCTTGCCAATTCTATCGCACAATCTTTGGCAATCTGATAGGTAAAAAAAATGGTGTAAGTGGGACCTGCAATTCTTTAGTAATGTGTGGTTAAGCACATTATATATATATGTGTGTATGTGTGTGTGTGTGTGTGTGTGTGTGTTTTTCAAGACGGAGTCTCACTCCGTTGCCCAAGTTGAAGTGCAGTGGTGTGATCTCGTCTCACAGCAACCTCCGCCTCCTGGGTTCAAGCAATTCTCCTACCTCAGCCTCCGGAGGAGCTGGGACTACAGGTGCATGTCACCATACCCAGCTAATTTTTTGTATTTTTAGTAGAGGAGGGGTTTCACCGTGTTGGCGAGTTGGCCAGGCTGGTCTTGAACTCCTGACCTCAAATGATCCACCC